AGAGAGAGAGAGAGAGAGAGAGAGAGAGAGAGAGAGTATACCAGGGCTCTAAAGACATTGAAGGGGTAATTGAGCTGAATGGATTTGGTGATGTCTGGGGAGTAAGAAAGGAGCATGCAAACCAAGGATTCCCACATGCTCCTGTCCAATGAATCCCCAACTATCATCAACCTCTTCCCCCTCAACCCCTCCAGCAACTTTTCACCATCAAACCTGCATTTTGATTCACTCCAAAAAAGCATAAACAAATGGGATAGATGCTGCAAATTTTCATTGCAAAAGAACTACAACCAAAAAGTTAAAGGGATAATTATCTCATGATGCAAAGTTAAAGTCAGAAAGATTCAAAATTGAAACTGTAAGCTTTAACTTTGCAGAAATTCATTGATAAAAGGCCAAGGATGAGACTGAAGAAGAAACACTTTTGCTTTTCTTCATCACGAAAAGACCAACTTTCATATGGAGTTTCAAAAAAAAAGAATTTATTACATCACTTTCTTCATCTAAAAATCTACAAATATCCTGTAAGGAAAGTCTAAAACAATTAACATATTTCACCTTTGGTCTGAAGGTATTAATGAAAAATGAGGAGAGATGTATCCATGGCAAAATTATATTTCCCTATGTTTCAATAAGTCAAGAAAAACTTAGTGACCTAACCATCTTTTATGACACAAATTAAAGAGGGAGAAAAAAAAGTAATTCCATTTTAAAGGGGAAAAAGAATATATAGAGCCGAGGCTCTAAACAGTAAAATTAGAGCCCACCTCAAAATTTTAGCCGAAGAAGTTGTTTTTGATGCCCAAATATCCTCAGCTTCAGCTTGAAAGGAAAAACATGGATTTCAAGTTTTTGGAAATAGTGCATTCATTTTTGGACGGCCAAATTTCTAGATTTTCAAGTTTATCAGCTTGATCTACATTATTTTTAAATATTTAAATTTTATAATTAAAAATTTTAATATATTTTAAAGCTATCACAAAGATTTTCATAACCACATTTCTCGACACTATTTGGAGGTGCACTTTTACTTTGATTGGTTAGAGCCTCGGCTCTTTACAAACCGCACTTTTAAAGGACTCGATACTTTTTAAGAAATAATAATAATAATTAGCCGGTTAATCGTCTAAAAACCACAAAACAAAGAAGAAACAGACAAACAGATTCCTTTCCCCATTATGGGGAGGTTATTTTCCCCAACTTCCAAGCAATAACCCAGGAAAACCCACAGAAAAAGACCAGTTCCATTTGAGAGGGAGAGAGAGATAGAGAGCGCTCCTAAACAGTGAAGCACAAACAACTCTTTACTCTTTCCTCTCAGGAGAGAGAGAGCACATCACCTAGGAGAGAGAGAGAGAGAGAGAGACCAAAACTAGATGACAGAGAGTAACTCAACAGAGTTGCATTTCCAACCTCGTTATGTTGCAGTATTTAGATGAGAGAGAGAGAGAGACCCACCTTGGCACGTTGCAAGTGTCAGGTTGCCATCGCCACTTCTGGTAATCTGAATCTGGCCTTCCATTATACTTACAGTTCACCCTTGAGCTGATATATGGGCAACTCTGAGAGGAGTAGAGAGGGTAACTCTCATCAAAAACCCACCTTCCATTGAAGATGTTGCAGAGCTCTGCACTCCCTTCTGAAACCATATTCTCTTCAAGCAACGAAACATGGCCATGAATGCTTCGTCCGAGCCTTCTGTCTCTAGAAAATGGCAAATGAGTTGCAGAGAGAGGATCGAAAAAGAGGAAGAATAACAATAATAGCAAAAAAAGGAAAGAGCTCAGTGCGAGTTCAGGCATCTGTTCTCACTCCTCACTGTTTCCCTCCTTCTTTAGAGAGAGAAAGTTTTGATGTTAACGCTTAGAGAGAGAAAGCATGGTCTCAGCTATGGTGTGGGTTTTTATGATGAATTTTGGAGTTCAAATTTTCGGTTGTCAGAGCGTCCTTTTATACGCCAGTTCACGGTTTGATGTATTATTTAATTAATAAACTTGACTTAAATTACCCTTCACAATAATACGAACTCAAAACGTACCCTTGATGTAAAATAACAATTACTGTAATGTTTGGTTCCCATATTATGGCCATTGGAAACAAGTTTTTGTCATGGCCGAATGGGCATCCATTTAGTGCCCCGGGTTGAATTGGCCCAGCTTTGACTAATGCAAGTAATATAGTCGGGCCTCCTTCGTGATATTTATTTTTCATAAATATTTTCCAAATCTTATTAAATCTCTTCTTCTCTATTTTCTATTTTCTATTGAACGTTTAAAAAGTCGGATCGGCGGGATGGAACAGTCACCCACTAGTTTCTAGTCAAATCGGTTTATTGGTTATTTATGATAGGAGGTTCACTGTTTTAAAAAAGAAAACGAAAAGCTTTAAAAAAAAAAAAGAATTTCGGGAGGATGAAACAATGGAAACAAGGAAAACATGGAAACTCGAAATCAAAATTTTGTTTTTGGGAGCTAAGAATCAAAACCAAAATAAACGATTAAAATAAAAAGAAAAATTGAGCTCAAAATGAAAATAGAGACCCAATTTTCCATCGTTCGATTGTAGAAAAAATTAATTTAGACCTTAAGTTCAAAAGTTTAATTATTTCTATTGAGAGATAATAGATAAAAGCAAAAATCAATGTTAGGGGATTTTTGTTATGTTTTAAAATATTTTGTTATGGATTTTGTACATCAGTATGATAAGTGCATTGTATGACAAATTTTGATAGAATTTGGTGAAAGAATGTGACATAAATCAAAGATTTTTTATTTTGGTTTTTAGAAATCCTGAAATTTGAACTCTTGATTTATTCTATTTTGGTTGTTGATAAAAGAAATGATTGTATAGATTGGAAACTGAGCTAAAAAACTACCATTTTGACACTAATTTAGTGACTTTTTATGAACAAGTGAGAGAGAATGATTGAAAATGATGGATTATAGATTTTTGACTATTTTTTTTAAAAAAAATAAATAAATTTTTATATTTTAAAAAGTATTCTTTTTTATTTTGTTTTGCATCATTTAGTTCTTCATGGACCAACCTTTTGAGGTGGATCAAACAGAACTGTAATTTCAAATGATTAAAATTATATTTTACATCCTAAATCCATATAAAAACCTAAATGGTCCCATCACAGAAGCTCATGGAAGTAAATGATCACATTATATGCAATCTTTTAAAAGAAAGATACGTATATATATATATGTTAAGAGAAGTTGAGAATTGGCGGACAATCCATGGCCCGTATATCAATTTCCTTGATTTCCTTTTCCTAGCAATTGGCAAAACGCAACAGGCAATACATGGCCTGTGTATCAATTTCCTTGATTTCCTTTTCCTAGCAATTGGCAAATGGCAATGGGCAATCCATGGCCTGTGTATCAATTTCCTTGATTTCTTTTTCCTAGCAATCGGCTCCTAGCAATTGGCAATGGCAACAGGCAATCCATGGCCTGTGTATCAATTTCCTTGATTTCCTTGTCCTAGCAATCGGCAAATGACAAGCCTATCATCTATTGCCCCAACCTGTTTTGGGAAGAGTCAAGTTTTTAACAGTGCTAATGAGAATAAAGGCCGTGACCTTTAACAAGTGCTAATGAGAATGGAGGCCGTGACCTTTAACAGGGGCTCGGGTGGTGGTACCACCCAAGCTCATTCTCAAAACGTACATGTAGTTGGTGGTGTGGACGGTTAGTGATGGAAAAACAAAGACCCATCCTAATGTAGGCCCTAAACTCTCACGACAACATCCATCCATTGATTTCGACATTTCTCTACATATTTGCACTTGTACATGGTTGGAAGGGAGGATAACAGTTCAGATTAAATAAAGCCACATCCAACATAAAATATAATTTTGTTTTTTATTTAATGAGACTAGGTTCAATTTGAACTGTTAAAGTGTACATGTGCATCGGACTTTAGACCACCCCTTAATGGTTTTAATCCTATCAACTGGCACTCCCCAAATCATCCTTCAAAAGTTAAAACCTCCTCTCTTTCCCCCCACTTTAGGCTGCCATTTGAGTGTGTCACATTTAAAAAAAAATTGACTTAGGTACATCCCCGCGATTACGGTGATTGGCTTTGGAAAATGCGTGTACGAAAGAGAAAGTTTTTATGAATCTTAAGATTCACAACTAAAAATAAAGCAGTTTTTCAAAACTATGTTGAAAATCTTTCAAATTGATATCTCGACCTCAAAAACCAAAAATTTATATATCTAAAAGAAAAATAGGCTTTAAGCCCTGAAAATAAAATATCTTGTTTATATATATATATATATATATCCAACGGCATATCATTTGAACAGTCTATTTTATAGTATTTATGAATATGCAAGTATTTTTGCATCTTTAATTTTCATAATCAAGGGTGACAATAAATATTAAAGCGGTTTATCACATTTGTGAGAGAGATTTAAAAAAAATGAGGTTTTGCTCTTTTAACGTGAAGGCTTGACTTTGGGCTAATCTCAACCGTCAATGGAATTGCAAAAAGAGCGCTTGGGTTATGCTGTCGGTTTTGATCTGGCTCTTAGACAAGTCTAATATATTAATATTGCTTGATGCATGCGAGACCAAATTGTATAATTTAACATGGAAAAGGAAATGTATACGATGATATTATTTACTTTTGATATAAGGAAGTAATAATCATTATTGACGGTTAGATGTGAAATCGAATGGCTGAAGATGTGTCATTGCTTAAACACAAAGTGCAAACTAAATTTTTTCGAATCTTGTGACACACTTCAATCTATTGGATTTCATATTCAATGGCTAAAACTAATTATAACCTCTTTATACAAAAATAAATGGTCTCATAGTTTAGAATCCAACATAGCATACTTGGGGGATCTAGTTTGATATAATAAGAAAAGTATAAAATAAAACCGCTATTATTGCTACAAAGTGGCCACAATTAATCTTGGGTATTGAAATGTACCAAAAAAAAAAAAAAACTCTCTTTAAAAAAGAATATTAGGAACAAGGCCTGAGTATTGTTGTGGTATTTTAGGAGAAAGAAGGGTATCATTGTCACTAATTCAAGGAATATAAAAATAGAGACCTCCTCTTTCCTCTACTTTTTTCGAGAAAAGGTAAACTTTTTTTTACTTATCCTTTGTCCCTTGTAGGAAGGTAAAAGACATAAGGAAAAGAATAGATTTGAGATTTTAACCCTAATTTGATATTCACCAAAATAAGCCGACATTCCATCATGTTTTGGGAACCAATTGAAGTTATACTATGCTCCTTATCAGGTAAATGAAATTTAACTCATCATAACGGCTTAGAATAAGTTTGGCAAATAATATATGATGAATATGAGGCATCTCTTGGTGGGACTTCGAGGAAACCAAAGATTCTCAGGAAATGTTTAAGTAAAGTAAAGAGGGATTCTCCACAACCTAGAGAGAGAAAGAGGAGAGAGAGAGAGAAAGAGAGAGAGAGAGAGAGAGAGAGAGAGATACGTAGTACGAAGAAAAGAA